AGCGACGGTGCTGGGCGCTGAGGACCGGCCTGGCTCCGCCGCCGCCGCTGGTAGCAAATGCGGATCTGAAACCGGGAGAGAGGGCAGAGGCGCTCAGAGACCGCCGCCGCCGCCGCGTGCTCGCCGCCCAGGCCCGCGCCGGGCATTTATATGTCACATCCAGGCGGGGGCGGGAGGGGGCAAAAATATTCCCCTCCCCCGGAGGATGGCGAGGGGCAGGAAGCTGGGCACGGCCCGCGCGCGGCCTCAATCAATAAATAATCTAATTAAATTATAGATAGAGAAATGTAGATAGAAAGAGAGAAGCCACCGGAGCGGCCGCGAACTCACGCCTTCTTGGAGTCGCGCCAGCGCCAGGAATAGCCCCGGCGCGGAGTCCCAATTAGAGGAGCGCAGCCCCGGCTCAGGGGAGCTTAAAAAGAGCGACCCAGGGGCAGGGGGGACGGGCCCGCCCGCGCCAGTCGTGTCACAGGGGGCGGGGCCATGCAAATGAGCCCGGGGATTTAAAAGGGCGGCCGCCCGCCAGCCGCCGCTGCCGCGCGGGTGGGTGCTGCCTGGAGCCGCGTCTGCGAGCGCCAGGCTCGCGCAGTGACCTGAGTCGACGGACCATTCCTCAATTTGGGAAGGGGGGGCGCGGAGAAAATACGGGGAGGGGCTTCACGGGCTCGCGAAGGATCTTCCCTCGTGCGGCTTCCTCCCAAGAGGGAAGTCCGGGGAAATTCACCTCCAGGGCCCTTCCGGGCACGCAGGCCTGTCCCCCCCCACCCCGGCAGGGCGTGCGGGAGTGGGCGGGCGTTGGTGCTAGTGGGGGTCCACGCGGGCGCAGGGGGAGGAGACACGCACGGGTCGGCGGCTGCCGCGGCCTCCACGCCGCCCCCTCTGGCCCCGATGGACGGCTCGTGGATCCCCAAGGCGGACAGGTGTCAGCACGCGCTTCGCGGCGGCAGCCGCGAGTGGCTGAGCAGTGAAACACTAGTCTGGAGGAATCCAAACGTGCAAACTGGGGAACCCAAAGGTTTTCTAAGCCCATCCACGGCCGCGGGCGAGCCGTGATCAAGGTGCAGCCCGCCAGCCGAGCCAGCGATTGGCGGGTTCGCAGGTAAACCACAGGGAGGAGCCATTAAGTGACCTGGATGGTGGCTCGGAGTCCCGCAGTCCCTCTTTAGTCTTCTCCGGAGTCACTTAGGAAGGAAAAAAAAAAAGGCAAGAGGTGGGCTACAGGTTGTCTAGGAGCGCCTCGAGGGCAGGGGCCGCGGCGGCGCACCCCGAGACCTCCAGACCTGGAGTCCCCGCGCCGGGGCTCAACAAAGACTTGTTGCACGCACTGAGGAGGAAGCCCAAGCGGGAAGATGGCGCGGTCGGGAGGCGCGCCCTGCAGGCCGGGCCGGGCTGGACCGGGCCTGCGCGCACCTCCCGGCGCCCGGTCCCCGAGGCGGCCCTCCACACCTCCAGGGATGCCGGGGGCTGCCAGGCGGCCCAGTGACACACGGCTGTGACTCATGCCTTTTCCTCGCTCCCCTTCTTCCTCCGGGGCCAGCGCAGTCCCCAGGACCACCCCCTCCCCGGGGGGCGCG